ACTTCTTAAAGGCTGAAATAATTGGTTTATGATCAGTCATTATAAAGAAGGGTTTTAATTATATATCGAAAATATTTTACTGACTCGTAAATGGCTAAGAGTTCACGATCATATGCACTGTATTTAACTTGCGTTGGTGAAAGCTTACGAGAAAAGAATCCTAACGGCTGCCAATGACCTAGGACCTTCTGCTGCAATACTGAACCAATGGCGGAGTTGGATGCGTCAATTACTATGGCCAACGGAGCAGACATATCTGGATGAGCCAGGAGAGCGGCATTAGCAATGCTTGCCTTGCAAGCATTAAAAGCGCTTTCTAGGTTAGCAGTCCAGTTAATGTTGCTCTTGCTCTTCACCGATGGACCACTAAGTAGTGCATGTAGAGTGCATGGAGAGGAGCCTGAAGCTTGGCAGCATCCTGTATAAAGCGTCTATAAAAGTTTAATGCTCCTAAAAACCACCTAAGATCCCTGATAGTTTCAGGTAGTTTAAAGTCAAGAATAGCCTTCACCTTGTCAACAACCCGTTTAGTGCCTTCCGAAGAAACCAGGTAGCCCAGAAACTCCACCTGCGGCACGGCGAATACACACTTATTTGTATTTAATAAAATACCGTATTCGCTGAAACGCGAAAATACCGCACGTAGATGTTCCTGGTGCTCCATCTCATTAGCGGAAGCAACTAATACGTCATCGATGTACGCAAAACAGAACTCGAGATCCCTGAGGACCTCGTCCATAAAGCGCTGAAAGGTTTGCGAGGCATTCCTCAGGCCAAAGTTCATTAGTGGGAATTCAAAAAGTCCGAAGGGTGTCGTAATAGCTGTTTTCTCTACATCCTCTATCGCAACCGGTATCTGATGGTACGCTCGCACTAAGTCTAATCTACTAAAAATTTTGCAATTAAAGAGATTGTGCGAAAAGTCAGCAATGTGGCGCACTGGGTATCGATCTGGTATCGTGCGAGCATTTAGTGCACGGTAATCCCCACAGGGTCGCCAACCTTCGCCTTTTTTGGGCAATAAATGGAGGGGTGATGACCATGAGCTCTGCGACCTACGCGCTATACCCGTACGAACCATTTCTTCAAACTCCTGCTTCGCGATTTTTAAGCGATCAGGTGCTAGTCGCCTTGGTCGCGAACACACAGGTGGGCCTGGGGTCGATCTGATATAATGCTGCGTATGGTGCTTGATTTTCGGCTCCAAAGGAGCTCCGACCGGCCGCATTATATCAGGATATTCTTGGAGTATCCGATGGAACGCTGAATCACCTGAAATGACCTTTATGTGCGGGCACGGGCAAGCAAATGCAATCAAGGCGACTGATGTAAGCGAAGTGCAATTATCAATTAATCGCGAATTACGCACGTCCACGAGTAAGTTATAAAAGGATAGAAAGTCTACACCTATTATCGGCTTGCTCACATTAGCTATTACAAAGCGCCAAGAAAATGCGCGCCTTAAACCTAAATCTAAACATAAACTTAACCAACCATATGTAGCGATTACAGTATTATTTGCAGCAAAAAGCTCATAATTAGTTTATTGCGTCGCTGCATGCGCACTAAGCTCAATGGGTAAACACACAAGTCAGATCCAGTGTCGATTAAAAACTGCACTTTACTTTTAACGTCAGTGACAAACAAACGCTTAGCGTTCGACTTACACTCATCAGCGGTCGCAGCTATCTACCGCCCAACTAGTTTTTTGGATAATTACAAGGCTTTATACACTTAGCTGCTTTCTCGCCGTAGTTGAAGTGATACCAGCAGTATCGCTGGCCATCAGCACGAGAACGACTTCTCGACTGACTGCGGCGCCGGCTGCTGGATTTCGACCTCCTTTTCGGGAAGTCACGACGTCTTCTTGCTGTCGACATTTCATCGAGCCTGTTGGTCAGCGCATCAATCTTCCGATTTAGGTCTTCGAATGCTGGAGATGAGCATAAATTGGATGTGGTAGCTACTTGTTGTGCTGACGTTTGTGGCGTGGCCTCAGCTACTTTATCGGCTAATTGGGCAAGTTGGTCGAGCGGAAGGTTATCTTGCATAGCCACTATAGTTTGTAGCAAACTGGGTAGCCGACTCGACCATAAGGTACGCAGGATCTCATCTGGGAACCCTGATCCAGCTAAACCACGAATATGCCGCAAAAACTGGCTTGGCTTGCGATCTCCCAATTCCTCATTCATGAGCAACTGTTTGATTTGCTCGCTTCTTGAAGCAGATAGTCTAGCAATCAACTCACGTTTTTATGTGTCGTATTTCTCGTTCGCCGGTGGTCTAATTATTAGATCTTCGACTTCCGCAGCAATTTTTGGATCCAACACTGATATTACATGATAATATTTTGTGACATCCGATGTAATATTCGCTAATGCGAATTGGCAATCCAACTGTGCAAACCAAAGCGTCGGTTTCTCGGGCCAAAATGGCGGCATCGTATTTGCCTACTCGGCAAAGTACCGCTCCCTTGTCACTAGTGCTGCTTTTCGCTACGTCTGCGCTAGCATCTTGCCGCATTTTTTGTACTTTGTACGCTATGTTCTTCTCGGGGTCACCACTTGTGGGCTTAGTTGCTAGGCAAATAAAAGCGTCTTCACTCTTCAAAAAATGTATATATTCTTTTTTTACAAAGATAGTTTATAATTACAAGCACGAAGCCAAAAAGATAAAAAGAAATGAATAAGAAAATAAAATTAATTAGAAGTAAGGAGTGCTTGAGATAGGAAGCCGCGAATAAGTTAGTCGCGATTTAAAATAACCGTTATTCTGGCGGCGCGAGCGTGGGGTCTAGCGCTGAGGCCGTTTTAATGCAGACTGCCGGTAAAATCCGAAGGCGCCCGGACTGTCACGAAAGCAGATTTAACGGAGCCGAGCATTCCCGACCGCAACCGACACGAACCTCGCGTCAGCGCGTACGCCGTTACCTAAACATGCAAAAGAATGACAAAATTGCATGTCGCCACATCCCTACTAATTGTACTGAAAGTGATTGAATAAATTTATTTTTAATCGAGTTTCAATCTTAAATTTTTATAACTGTGCTTCTAGACTACTAACTAGAACTAACATAAGCAGTAACAACAAATACGAGGAAACTGATAAATCTTGTGTTTTAAATTATCCGTTTTAATTTATTCTGGTATTATTCAAACCAAACTGTAAATGATTACCAACTCTAAATAATCGATATCGATTTTTTTAAGAATCGAATACTGTACGTTCCCATTTTTTAGTTGGCATACTTGGTGCAATAATTCTGACAGCTGTCAAAATATATTTCTTAGATTTGGTTTACTATAACTAATGTTGTAATGTTTTATATTTTATTAATCATCACCATTACACCCTATAAAATAATAACTGAAGTAATTACCTCATAGACCACCTCATACGGAGCATTTTGGTCATAGTTGCTACGCTTGGCAGGTGGTTGGCAACCGCAGTCTTTAACTATTTTTGTTTAATGTCAGGGAGATAATGCTATGCATCTCCTATTATGTTTCCCTCTATCACCGCTCAAAATACTCTATTTTGTTTAAATAAGTGACAAAAAATATTTTTATATACATTTGAATATAATATACTTTAAGAATTTAAAAACTAAAAATGCTTCAAGAACTAGGGTAGCTCAGAAAAAAAACTGTTTATGTATCAAAATGTTACTCTAAGTTAATTTAAAAGATTGTTATCATTTTCAGAAAGTTGAATATTCTATTAGTGGCGATAAATCCTCAAAGTTGTGATTTGTTTTTTCAAAATTTGAACTGAACGTGGAAGCAAAATGTCTGGCGAAAAGAGTGGCTACTTCAGAACCAGATTCTGCAATGGAATCGTTTCATTTCATTTTTAAGGGAAGAGTTGATTGGTTGCTACGTTTGTCTTTAATGCATGGCCAAAAAGATTTGACGTTACGCGATATTCCATTCTCAATATTTGTCTTATAGTCAATATAACACTTGTCAATAAGCTTGTGACAGCGGCTCCGTAAGAGGTCGTGTTCTAATTTGTCACGTGGATTATCATATTTCCGATATCAGTTTCGTAGCTTATTTTTCACAGATAGAAGTTTAATTTGGGTGTGGCTAAACCATTTGGAGTATTTACTCTTGGAAAGACGGCGATTGCGGACAGACCTGTTAATAATTAACCTTAGTTCATTATAGAATCCACCCAATCTATACACTCCAGGTAGAAGGCAATTTCCTCGTAATTTGCCTTATAGAAATTGTGGTCAGTTCGTTTCTTAGGTTGAAGATAAGCAAAATTAGTTTTTTGTAACGTTACCAAAAGATTAGGATGTTTATAGTCCAGCCTACTCAAGAGTTCTAGAGGCTCCGATACATCAAGACCGGAAATGTTGCCCATAATGAGATCTAAGTATCTGCTGTCACTGTTTGGTATGTTGTTAAATTGACTTAAGTTATTAAGAGACTTGAAATCAACAAGACCGCATCCGAGAGTACTATTATAATTAGATGGAACCAATTGAGCAATAAGATCATGATCTCTACTCCAGTTGATGAATCCTAGATTAAAATCGCCCATAATTAGAATGTTATTGGGTTGGTTCGTAACGTTATCAACTTTGTCAAGGAAATATGTCAAAGTATCTGATTTAACTGGTGGAAGTATTTATACCGCGCAAATGGCAATATCCGAGGTAATATTGCCAATTTTTATTTGCACCGATACCCATAAATATTTACAGTTACTTTCCCATCGCTCAACATGAGCAGATGGAATGTTTCGCAATACAATTATTAATACTCTTCCGCCGTCCATTTTAGTGGATTTCGAACACACACGATCCTTACGATAAAATAATCTAGAATCGAAAATTTTACTGCTAGCAACATCCGTATTTAACCAAGACTCCGTATACACTATAACGTCGTAATTATTTACGAAAATGTTTTTTAATACGTCAGTTGTTTTCGTTCTCAGACCACGCACGTTTTGATAGTATATTCCAAAGGTACCTCATACGTGAGTTATTAGGATCTATGTTGAGAAGAGATTATTGAATCAAGACACTCAACATTTCGAATGAAGATGGCTGGGCTGTACTCATTTCTGCGTAAGAAGACGCGTCTATTGCGAACACATACGAATTTGAAATCTTCCTTTTTGGCCTTGAGGCGAGCTGCTGCGTGCAGGAACTTGATAGCTGGTGGTAAGTGCTCAGAGACAAACACAGGTTTTGGCGGATCTGCCATACCAAGATGTTGGGTTGACAGCTTTTCCTTTGACTTACTTTTGTTGAATTTTGCAACAGCAGCCAACATGGCGTCTCGATGTCGGGGGCTGCGGAGCTTAGCAAAAACCATGCGAGGCCGGTCACTGTCATTGTTTAGCTTAGCAACTCGGGTTACATGATGAATATCTCCATCTCCAATATGGCTATCAACGGTTTTTGCTATTTGGGTTAAAATGGTTGACAAATTTTCCGTTTTATGTTCTGGTACGCAATTTATTTCCAAATTCGACTCTCTTATATTTTGCTCCACAAGATTGAATCTTTGGGGCAGAGCTTTGACACTTGATTGGAGCGTTTCGTTGTCTTTTTGCAGCCCTGATATAATAGCCGAATTTTCCTGTAGTTCAGCCTTCATTTCCTCATATTGCCTGTTAAAGTAACCAAAGGATACTAAATTCCGTTATGCGCTCATTTATCGTTCGAAGTTGTACAATTACCAATTTTTTCATTTTTCCTTCGATAATGCATGACAATTACTCAGTAAGTATTCGCTGCAGCGAATCCTCCGTCACACAACCGTCATCAACTGGAACAGCCTGTGATTGCTGGTGAGCTCTGATGGTAACGTTGCTGGCTTCACACGATGTTTCATCGAGTATGCTGACGTTACTGGGGCCCAGCTGAAAGGATTGGAGTGGTTGGCGCAACATTCAAGACATTTCAAGCAATGTCTTATTTCTTGGTTCATCATATTAAATCTTTTTAAATCAACATTAGCGCATAAAGGGTCGTATTTAATTAAGCAAGCGGAGAACACCAGAAACTCTCTAGTAGTTGTTGTGGCATGTTGTGGCGGCATTCAGAGAATTTATTTCCACCCATAATAAGCAAGGCTTCAAGATGCGCTTAAAAGTTGCGGATGAACAAGGCGTTAGCGATAAAAGCGCTGTGCCGTACGTCACGTACACTGTGTGATGGGTATGTGTGCGTAGATGCGAGGCGGTCGCGAGTTGGCCTCGGTCAGGGACCGAACTTAGCAAACGATTATATTTAAAATGTTTATTTCTATTACTCACAATCTAGGTGGACACACCTCAATAATCACCGTCTGGTGATTGGTGTGACCGAAATGGTGATGAACTTCTCTAATCATCATTTTCAAAATCACATATTTGTCGTCCAGAATAATAGGTTTCCTATATTCCTTCGTTAAGTTGGATTTGAAAAGTAAACTACCATTTAATCTGAGGGGACCATTCTCTCTTATTTCCAAGGCTACCTCGTTTAAGCAGAAACATTCCGTTTGAACGCGTTTCAGTATTATGATTTCTGCTTTTCTTAAAAATACTATTTGCAATACGTCGTCGAGGTCTTTAACCGTCTTTGCTAATGAATTGTCGGAAATTTTTATCGAACTATCCAATGGATCGTCAGGAACTTTAAACGACTTTCCTGACTTTTAAAAGATAAAGGACTTAAACTTTTCGTCCGCTTGCAGTGTATTTGTGGTTGCCCAAAGAAATCTTCTAAAAAATTACTGAAACCTACTTAGTCGGATAAGCACAGTAATTCTATGTTCTTTAGCGTATCCACGCTTTTTGGTGACTTTTAGTCATCATCATCACCATCATTATAGCCCTTCACAAGTCCACTGCTGAACATAGGCCTCCCCCAAGTAGTGCCACAAAGCAAGGTCCTGAGCCACCTGCATCCATCGACTTACTGCATATGTTACCAGGTCGTCACTCCATCTAGTGGGGGTCGCCCTACACTACGCCTACCGGTACGAGGCTGCCACTCGAGAACCTTTCTTCCCCATCGGTCAACGGTTCTTCGAGCTATATGGCCGGCCCATTGCCACTTCAGCTTACTAATCCGTTGGGCTATGTCGGTCACTCTGGTTTTACTGCGGATATACTCATTTCTGAGTCTATCACGCAGAGAAACTCCGAGCATAGCCCTCTCCATAGCTCGCTGAGCGACTTTGAGCGTCCTTATACGATCAGCAGTGAATGAACACGTCTCAGATCCGTAAGTCATCCCTGGCAACACACACTGGTTGTACAATCTAGTTTTTAGAGTTTGAGGTATACCTGACGAGAAGTGTGTCGTAATTTCATTCATTTATTCAATTTCATCTTAAGACCTATCCGTTGAGAGACACAATTGAGGTCATTGAGCATAGTGCTAAGGTCCTCCAGTGATTCTGCCATAACGACTATATCGTCGGCAAATCGAAGGTGAGTGATGTACTCGCCATTGATGTTAATACCGTATCCTTTCCAGTCCAGTAGCTTGAAAACTTCTTCCGATGCAGCGATGAAAAGTTTCGAAGATATAACGTCACTCTGTCTTACACCTCTCTGCAGTTGGATATATTTCAAACTCTGATTGTGTATGCCTCCGGAATAGTGCCACCATGGAGGACGGAATTGAAGATTTTCTGAAGGACTTTAAGTACCGGTGTTCCACCCGCTTTCAGAAGCTCCGCTGTAATTCCATCCTCGCCTGGGGCCCTGCCGTTATTAAGGTGCTGGAGAGCCATTCTGATCTCACTCAGACTCAGAGAGCGAGGACGACTCACTGGCCCATACCGCAAAAGAGAAAGCCAATCTTTTAGGCTCTTTATTTACATCCAACTTGACTCTCGATGACGGGGGGAGTACACCGCTGACCATCCCGCGCTGTGAGTGCTCCATGCCGGAAGTGCAGTTCACACAGCACTCGGTTCGCAAAGCAATCCTTTCCCTGGACATCCACAAGTCGAGTGGGCCTGACGGAATCCCCCCAATTGTGCTGAGGACGTGTGCTCCAGAGTTGGCACCGGTTTTAACGCGTCTTTTCCGGTACATCTACTCCCTAGAAGTAGTTCCAAAATCATGAAAGACGGCTTTAGTCCACTCGATCCCTAAAAAAGGCGACCACTCAGACCCATCCAACTATCAGCCTATCGCAATTACCTCCTTGTTCTCCAAAACAATGGAGTCCATTGTAAACTGCCAATTATGAGGTACCTTGAGGATCACCAGCTGATTAGTGACCGCCAATACGGTTTTCGCCGTGGTCGGTCAGCTGGTGATCTTCTGGTCTACCTAACTCACAGATAGGTGAAGTCAGTAGAGTCCAAGGGGGAGGCATTGTCCGTTAGTTTGGACATTGCGAAGGCCTTCGATCGTGTTTGGCACAAAGCGCTTCTTTTGAAGCTCTCTTCCTATGGGCTTCCCGAGAAATTGTGCGATTGGATCACCAGCTTTCTTGCAGATCGGAGCATCAAGGTCGTTGTAGACGGTGCAAGCTCCGATTGCAAGTCTATTAATGCTGGTGTCCCACAAGGCTGCGTGCTATCGCCAACGCTGTTTCTTCTACATATTGTGACGGCCCAATATTATTATTAATAATAAAATTCAATATAAAGGGGCATCAAAAATAGTCTTAAAATATATATATATATATATATATATATATATATATATATATATATATATATATATATATTAAGTGTGGCGGCGCTGTCTTCGCGCCACAAGCTAAATACACCGAAGCCTAAATCACGCTATCAACATTCCGAATCATAAACAGTATATATAGAACATCTCCGAACTATCACATGGAGTGTTGGCCGCTCCCCGGGCAGAACACCTTGCCCGGCGGGAGATCTCCCCCTTTTCCTACTTTGGTCACAGTGGTGACTAACCGACATGATCTGAACACGCAACCAAACAACCTTCGGAAACTTCAAGCTTCATCATCGTCATAGATTACCCCACCCATTCGCTCCCGAGCAGATATCGTCTGCAGTCTTCATACGAGTATCCTGCAAGCCATCTAGCTTCACAAGGTTCATCGCAGCACTGGAATAATAATGCTTCCTGTTCCTTCAAGCTACTCTGTGCGCTATACAGTGTTCACGCTGATTACTTGCCTTCTTCTTGACTCACCGCAGACTACAAGGCAATCTCCTGGCACCTGCACATTCGTCGACAACTCGACTGAACTATCGACCTCCGGTCTGAGCAGGAGGGTGATGTGGCGGCGCTGTCGTCGTGCCACAAGCGAAATACACCGAAGCCTAAATCACGCTATCAACATTCCGAATCATAAACAGTATATATAGAACATCTCCGAACTATCACATGGAGTGTTGGCCGCTCCCCGGGTAGAACACCTTGCCCGGCGGGAGATCTCCCCCTTTTCCTCCCTACCGGCCACATTAAGCAATAAAATTACATTAATAAACATAAAGTTAATATAAATATATTTCAGACATTAAACCAATAACATAGTAAATTAAAGGCAAAATATTGTCTTTCATAATAAATAAATTTATTTAAAAACTTGAAAAAATATTTAAAATAAGATAAATAATAGAAATACAAGTCGAAAATATAATAAAAATAAAGATAAATAACATTTATAAGATAATTAGAAAATTTGTTAAAAATGGTCTAAGTCTTGGAAGGAGTTCATGTATAAAAGAAAGTTGTGGAAGGTGTTCATGTATAGATGTCTTGTATGGAGGAGCTGCCGGAGATACATACCTGCAGTTGTGCATATAATTATATGGGGTGGTCGGGAGCCCGACTGCTTGAAGTACTGTAGCACAATGACTAGTCCTATATTAGGGACTTATGATAATAAACTCAATGATACAAAAGCAATACTATAGAAGGTCTCCATGATGAATTTGCATTACAATAGTGGGATCGTGGGTTGAAGTCCAATATATTTAAAAATAAGTCAAAAAGCAATACTATAAAGGTCTCTAAATTTGCATACAATAGTAGGTTGTTCGAGTCCTGTATATTAATGACTTATGAAAGTAAGGTCTATGATACAAAAGCAATACTATAGAAGGTCTCTCAACACATTGAAAACATTGCTGACAGGATAAGCAAACTAACATGGGTATTTAAAAATCTCAGGTGTGTGCAAATGAAACAACTCTTATCACCAACTACAAAGCTCTAGCGCAATCGGTAATGAGTTATTGCATACCTGTTTGGGGTGGTGCAGCAAAAACACATCTACTAGGACTTGAAAGACCTCAAAGAGCTCTAATTAAGGTGATGTTCTTGAAACAGTTTCGATTTTTAACTTTTGAACTACATAAGTCTTACAAATTGCTTACACTCGCCAGATGTATATATTGAATTGCATTTAAAAAAAGCATCGACATTTACCATTATTTATTCATACCTCATAAGACACCAAAACGTAGGAGTACCAAAATTTGCAATATACAACAAAATAAAACAAAGCTTAAGCAAAAGCAATACGTATTCCAATCTTTATCTATTTACAACAAATTCAATAGCAGATTGAATATTTACCCCTTGACGTGGACTAAAGTTAAACGTGTAGTGACACAATTTTTATTAACACTAAACTACGAGCAAACTGAACAATTTATTACAT